TCACCTGTGTGTGTGGCGGAACTCCGCCGTGCGCGATACAGAGAGCAGAGGAGAATTGTTAACGCGTGACCATGTAGAGACAGAAATGACACGATGACATAACACCATAAATAGTATATTGTTATGTTATTATATGAAGCGTCGGTCGCGCAAAATAATATCAATGGGGGCTGTGGGCAGGACATTGTTACACAGCGTGTGCCTGTGACTTCAGGCAGAGAGACCGCTGCATCAGAGCCGAAGGAGCACGTTTTAAAATACATTTATTTTATCAATTAGTTATTAACTTTTACTATTTTTAGCAACTTGCCCAATCGGGCAAATGAGTTGTTAGTTTACATGCCCGACCTTGAGTTTTACTTGCCCCGGGCAATCGGGCCATCGTTATTGTTGAGCCCTGAATTTGAAAGCTATTTCTCAAGACAAGTTCTGTAATAAACCTTGTCCACTTTCATTCTGTTTATATCTTAACAGGAGCTGGCCACTACCGTGGTGCTGAAACTAAATCAATCGATGTCAGGCACATCGATCACCCACCATTTCATCAGCGCATGTCACACACACATAGGCTACTTATTTTTCGTCTTATTATTATTTTTCTTCCGCCAGATTTCGGTGCGTAACTTGTGCCACAGTTCTGAGCGCACACAGGGTCTTCATAAAACATAGATTCAAGATTCAATATGCACATTAGGCTAAGGACACACGTTTCCCTGCAGAATGAAATTCGTTCTTTTCTGTCACCAATTAATGCCAAACAATATAAATCTGAAGTATAAAATAGATCAAAATAGCCTATATACGGCGCGCACTGTTGTCCTTGCTTAGTGTAATACTCCGTCGTAATTTCCAATATATACTACACATTATAATAAAGATATGGGATATAGTCAAGATGGCACCACCCGAGTGGCAGCTGGTTAGTTCCGACCCCCCTTCGTGGATGTGCAGTATGTGTTTCTTAGCGAAGCAGTGGCTAATGTGGCACCTTTCCTGATCTCATAATTAAGAGATCCTTATCTCGTAATTATGAGATCCTGATCTCATAATTACGAGATCTTTTCTCATAATTGTCTAATTGTCTAAAAGTGTCTAATTTTTTTTTTATCCAGTGAATGCAATGCGCTTCCGTAAAATATAAAGACATTAAATCAATGCTCGCGAGTAAACAACGACGAAAGTGTCCTCTTGCGTTAAGTAGTCGCTTCAGGTGTCTCTCACTTACATGAAAACCGTGTTTACTCGCGAGCACTGATTTAATGTCTTTATATTTGAGGCCAATCTCAAAATAAAACTCTATGAGCCTCTCCCACGGGTGAATGCGCTCCATTGTTGAGTTTGTTTGCAGTCTCTATGGGCCAAACTGACCTGGAAGTACATTACTTAAAGGAAAGTTTTGCGAGATCTCGCAAAAGCTTTGTGAGATATTGCAAATGTTTTGCGAGAGATCTCGCAAAAGTACTATTTTTTTTTTTTAACCGTCTATTTTTTTTTCCCTTCCATGTCCCTTTAGGGGCTCCGTATGGAACCATAAATGTGTATTTTCAGACAATTTTTAATGTTTGAAAAAAAACAAAAACAAAAAACAATTATCAACAGTAATTTGGCAGCCCCCCTGTGGTAACAATAAGGACCCCTAGGGGTCATGAACCTAATGTTGAAGACCCAGGAAATAGATTTAACTTTTTGAATCTGTAAGGAGATCTGTATGTATGCATGACATTTTTTTAAATAAATGGTACTGATTTATGAGTGCATGAAGGAGATTTGCAAAAAGTTTCGCAGTTCAATAGCTATCACACAGAACTAAGTTGTGTGTGAAGTTGTGTGTGAACCCTGCTCAATGACTGGACAGTGACATGTTAATCTGAACCTCACCATTGGCTATTAAGGAGGAAGTGGTAATCTTAGAGATAGATCTGATTTGTAGCTGTAAACCTGGGATTTTGGGTGGCTGTGACTCAGGAAGTAGAGCGGGTCGACTACTAAATGGAAGATCAGGGGTTCAGTTCCCTGCTCCTCCAGCCCACATGTCAAAGTATCCCTGAGCAAGATTCTCAACCCCACATTGCTCTTGAAGGCTGTTCCGTGGGTGTGTGAATGTGTTAAACACTGAGTAGCAGGCAGCATCTTGTATGGCAGCCCTGGCCACCAGTATGTGAATGTGTGTGAATAGGTAAATGTGACTTGTGGTGTATAAAGCACTTTGAGTGGTCAGAAGACTAGAGTGGCGCCATATAAGTGCAGGTCCATTTACACATACACATACACTTCTTCCACCAACAAACAGACAACAAACAGTGGAACTGCAATGCGTTTTTGTAACTTTAAACCTTTTTGCAAATCTCCTTTATGCACTAACAAATCAGTGCCATTTATTCATGCACACATACAGATCTTCTTATGGATTCAAAAATTAAATTGATTGTTTTAAAAAAAAATGAATTTGATCAAAACATTTTGACACATTTGAATGTATTCATAAGAAATGTTTTCACACATGAAGATATGTTCATACACAGCTACAATACTTTTATCCCTATCTAAAAACTAATACTGTACCTGAAGTTCTGCTGCCTTGACTTAGACGGACGTTGTTAACCGTAAACTTTGGTAATTCTAAAAGGCACCGGGTGAAATTTAGAGAAGCCATGATACCGGCACTTCCACATTCAGAACGCCGCGACCAGAGATATGATAGCACTCTTACGCCAAACCTGGAAATGATGCGTCCATGGAGCCTATTAAGCGTCGCTCTGGTCTGTTTGAATAAGCTGGGTGACATAACTAAAAAAAAAAAAAAAAATTGTTGTGGAACTGTGTTTATGTGTTTATAACTGTAGGAGCAGACCATGCAAGAGTTAAAACATGAAACCAACGATCTGGGTAAAAGATTGGGTATAAAATTGTATCATATTTCAAGGAAATTGGTCAGAAGCCTGATTACCTGTGAATTAATAGCTCATTAAATACAAAAATGGCTTTTGTTGTTAATGTTGGAGCTTGAAGAGGGTATTTGCACACGTGTCTTCAGGGTGGACCAGGAGGATCAGGAAGTGGCTTTGGGAACTTTGAAGAGATTGGACCTTTGAACAGGGACCTGGAGCCCAGAGACACCAGCTGGGTAAGAGGGTTGCATTTAAGGGTTTTAAATAAGCTGTGTTTTTGTTGGATCAGCCCTTTAGTGATCAGAGAACACTTTGGAGCACTGCAGAACTAAAATCTGTTGTGCATTTGTGACTAGTCTGGGGCCGTTTAGTGGCCGTTTTGGTAAGCAACTGGAACCAGGGCGAGAGAGACAGGATCTGGAATTCGATGGATGCGCCTTTCCATCAAAATAAAAGCACCAAGCTAATAAAAATGCGGTGAAACTTTTTATTTTAAAGAATATAATTTACTAGAAAAGCCCCAAGCCAGTTACAATGTGTAAATTACGTGGTTGTTTATTAGCAAATATCAACTATTGCTTTCATAAATATATATTTACTAAAGTGTAATGCAATTCACATACAAATGGAAACTTTCTCATAGGCTTAGAATGATTTCTCTATATATACACAGGCTGGAGGCTGCCCTCTTGCATCGCCATATTTGAATACAGTGGCCGAAAGGGATATACACGCTTCGCCTTTCGCATTTACCTAGAACTTGCCGTCACTGGAGACGGTTAAGGTGAAGATCAATCTGCGGCGCTTCTGCGTGAACCTCCTTTGTACTTTTATGATTCTGTCGCACTTTAAATGGAGGACCACACATATGTTTTGCCCCATAAGAGAGAAACCACACCAAAGAAAAAGATCAGATAAGCGAGGACGGGACAAAACGCGAGTGAATATCGGCGTTGCTTATTCCAGTTGGAAAGAACTCCTGAAGAAGGATTTCACAAGGGATGCGGAGGTTGCCTGCTTTCTGCTAGACAGGTAATTCAATCTGATATTTTAAAATCATTTTGGCTTCATGTTTGCAACTACTTTTCCCTCTCGTCTAAGTTCGAGTGACGGCTACGTTTACATGCTAACGTTATCCTAGCCTTGGCTAACGTTATCCCAGAGCTACAGCTAAATGGTTAGCCTAGCCTACAGCCTAATCTGTTGATTCCTCTTGCGCTGCTGTGAAGGCTGCCACCCTCTCCTCCTCCTCTTTCCTCTGTGTAGCCGAGACACTAACGTTACTTCCTCGCCTGGCCGTTCCTGCACCGCCTCTACCCCCTTACCCCCTTCCTCTCCCTGGTCCTCCTCCTCTCCCTCTCCCTCCTCTCCCTGTGTCCTGTGGAAGAACACTCTGGAAACACATATATTATAATCGTACCAACCTATATTTGCTGCACTGTACTGTGACTATCACATAAAACGTGTTATTTTAGCATTACTGTGCTAATGTTTGCTTGTATTACCAAAACAATTAGAAATAAAACACTCCTAACATACCTCACAGATAACCTATATCTCACTGGTAAGCTATAACATATTGTAACATGGTTTAGATTCCTAAATAAATATTCACCTCGTCACTAGATACTCCTGAAAAACTCGAAAAACTTGTGGATGATGCCATCTCTGCTGTCAGAACAAGGCTTTTTGTCCTACAAGGCCACGGTCACTTGAACGAGTGAGCGCGAGTGAGCGCTGCACTCTAGAATTTGACCGCTGATGTCATTGTTACTCACCATTTTTACACACTGAGGCTTTAAGTTAACCTTTTTCTTTTACTGTATTTAATTGTATTACAAGTTATTGTCTATTTCAGTTGTCTGTTTTATTTAATAGGCACTTGATCCTAGTTTTGTTCATTATACCTGTAGTTTGTAAATGCATTTTTTCGATAAAGTCTGGGGCCGTGGGGGCGGAAGAGAGACGAAAACTGCGTGATGCTCGCCATGTAGCATGCTCTATCAACCAAGTTTCTTGAAGAACCTCTTCTACATCAGACTGTTGTACGTCCATGTTTAAATGATTAAAATGTATCGATCATGGCGACAGTCTTCACTCTTCTTTCTTTTCCAATTCAGCTTTCCAACGTGGAGAAACGGGAGACGGAAATCGATGGTGCGCCAGAATTTAAAGTTTTACTTTGGTGAACACTTTTACTTTGTTGAATTTGGTGAATTCCGGATCCGCTCTCTAGACCGGAACCAGAATCCAGACAAAATTCAGAGTGAATGGAAACCAGGCTCTTTGCCGTACGTGAAGAGCCTGGTGACACTAGGCTAATTTGTGACAGTGAGTCATTTCCTGCATTGTGTGTGTGAGTTGACGTGCTGACGTATTGCGGTAAGCGAGTTGTGTCATTTCCGGTGTTTCTGTGACAGCGTCTCTGTGCTGCTCTAGTGAATTCTACTAGCCTGCTTTCTGCTTTCTCACTTCAGTTGCTTTAACATCTTAACCCACACTAGTTCTGTTTAAGCACTTATAGCTCTCCTCCTTTTTACGACTTCCCTGCTAATCTCTTAGCTGTTGTTTGCACGTTACTAGCCTTGGTAGCTACATTAGCTTTACAGTTAGCGATGGCTTCTCCCTCTGCTCTTTCTTGCTTGGTGTGCCAAATGTTTAGCTATGCCTCTGCCTCCTTTAGCGACAGTGGTAATTGTAACAAGTGTAGCTTATTTGCTGCGTTGGAGGCGAGGCTTAGTGAATTAGAAGCGCGGCTCCGCACCATGGAAAACCATTCAGTAGCTGCGGTAATTAGCCAGCCCCCTGTAGCCGGTATGGAGCCACATAGCATAGCCTTCAGCGGTCCTCCGGTAACACCCGTTCAGCCGGGAGGTTGGGTAACTGTTCGCCAGAGGCACAGCTCCAAGCCGAAGCCCATGGCTCACCACCAGCCTGTTCATGTTTCCAGCTGCTTTTCCCCACTCAGCGACA